CTACGAGGGGGGTGGGAGGTGCGGTGGGTGGGGGTGAGGGGAGAGGGCGGGGCGCCAGATCCCGGCACTCAACGGCCCCAACGGCTATCAACCGTGGCCGCCCTTACGCTGCTGAGTGGAGCCTCACTGCAGCTTGTCTCCCCGAGGAGCTGTTCCGCCCACCTAGCATTAGCCCCCGATTTACCGCCTCCGTAAGGGACTCCTATTTCCATTAGCCCCTCCCAGTTAATGGACCCATAGGCCTTTTGAACCTCCCTCCTTTGAAAGTTTGCTTCCAACCACCAGGATTATGGATATGTCGAGTATTTTTAAGAGTCTCTTCTTAGCTCCCTCATTCCCCAGAAAGGGGCCTAGGTACTGGGATTCCCTTGCTAGTCATTTCCCACTCTTCTCATAAGAGCATCTTTGACTTTGGTAGTTTCTGATAAAAGTCCAGCATGCCAGGATTCTTGTGCTTTGCTGAGGGGACCCGATTCTGTTTCCCCATTGACTCCCCCCGGTGGTGCTCTTGTGCCTTCACTGAAGACCAAGACCCGTCCTTTTCACTGTCGCAAGTCCTAGGACTCCCCGGCGGTGGGCGGGCGGCGGGCGGCGGGCGCAGGTCCAGGCCTCCTGGGTGTGTGGGGTCGTGACCTACAGTAGAGCCTCGTTTCCTGGGACGCGTGCGGGCACTTGAGCGTCTGACGGCCCTGGACTGGGCTGCCGGGAGAGGAGCCCAGAGTCTAGCCTCAGTCCCCCCTCACCCGCCCAGGGAGCCCACCGTTATTTGTAAACTGAAGATGACGAGTTGTGAAGGTAAATGAGACAGCTACGAAGTTGGACGCAACTTGAACAAAAGTAAAAAACCACCACGCAAAATGGAAAGTATTTTTCTTATGCTATGTGAAAACAGAGGCCATGTGGTGGCCTGTTACATATCCTGTCATGCCCTCAGGGGACGGCCAGTTTGTCTAAGTAGAAACTGTCACAGGCCGGTTGTGACTGGATGGTGTGGCAGTGACAGGTCCTTGGCCAGCCTGCTCGGCTGCTCCAGACCTCCATTTCCCCTTCTGTAAATGGGGGCGGGGTGGGTTGGACCAGATGGTCTTTCCTGGCCTGCAGACAGACCAGGTTGTCAGTGACAGGCAGAGGTCATGTGACTTGACAGGCCGAGGTCGTGTTGTGACATGTTGACCTGGGGAGGCAGGTCAAGTCCCAGAACACTACCCGGGAAGCCTTTGGGGCGGGGCAGGGCAAGTCGCGACTTTCATCTTTTGGGGGCTGGCCCCTCCCGGACATTCCTGGCTCCCCCAACAGACTGTGGCTTTGGAAGGGGCCCTCCCCACAGAGGGCTGGGATTGGCCACCAGTGGCCTGGGAAGAGGCACAGATCCTTCCGCGGAGAGCGGGGGGGCCGCGTGGGGTGTTTGTTCTCTTGGGGATTAATGGGGGGTTGTGGGGGAGGGGTAGGCGCGCTCCCGCATGCGCACTGGGGCCCCTCCTGTTGGCTCGTCGCTATCCGCTGGGCGGGGGCCC